CCTTAACCTTCTTTTGTCTTTAGAGATGGTTTCTCTTTCGAGCTGTTTGTCAACCCCTGGAGCTGGGGAAGGGCTGGGCAGCAGCAGGGTTCAGAGTGAAGCCTCCTGAGGCTAGAGGCCCACCGCTGACTCCCCTTTTACCATAAGCCTCCGTTTTCTCCTCTTTCAAATGGGAGGGTTGAGATAAACTATTTCTAATCTTGGTCTAACTCAGACTTTCTAATTGAGAGCCTTCGTTCCTAAAACTCGAATCAGTTTCAGGAGCCCAGGGCCCAAGTTAAAGGCTGCTCTTCCTTCTCCGAGCTTCAGGTCTCCCCAAACAGCCTTCCACCCTCGTCCATTCTTCCCAGGGGCTGATGCTCAGAACCAGTCAAATGGTCCCAAGGAAGTACCACCCTGTGAGTTCCAAGGATGAGGAAACGAAACGACTGTGGAGCTTCGGTTTCCCCAACAGAAAAGTAGCTGGGAAACATCTAGCACCCACTGCTTCTGAGATTTAGTCAGTGGTGCTGACAGAGAGACCTCTGGCACCTTCCAGCATGTTCTGGGCTTGTATAGGGGGTAGCAGGTAGAGGCAGTAAGGGAGATAACCCAGCCAGTCGTGGAGGGCCTCAGGGAGAGGTTAGCCCTAAGTCCCATGGCATCTTCGGGAGTTTTGCTCTCCCTCTGTGTGAGGAACGTGTACCCAAAATGGAGTCAGCTTGGACATGGGCCGGCAGAAGGCTGGCCACTCCATTACATGGCTAGATTAGAGGGATTTCTCTTTCATTTCAAAGAAACAAGCTGCCTTTTTAAATGTAGGCAATGAATTCTGCTCTGCAGTAAAACATAAAACCCCCCCAGCTAGTTTGTCAGCACTGAAGGAAAGGTGGTCATGACCCTGAGTTGGCCAGATCTGTAGGAGGAAAGAAATTCCTCTTCATTCGAGAGGCAGGTCTGGCTCCCACCCCACGCTGGGAGCCTTTTGAGCCTTTCTTCTCTGATCTATAAACTAAGTTCAAAAGCACCCGCTGAATACCTGGGGGAGAAAGTGTTCATATGGACACACAAGTCACAACTGTCTTTTCCAGACACCTGCTGTGGGAGCCCAAACTTCCGGCTTCCGTGTTCTGTCCACACCCCTGTCTGTCTCCGCAGGCTTCTCTATCTGAGATGTGCGAAGAAATGCAGACAGGACCAGTCAGCGCTGTGTGCTGCGTGCTGCCTCCTGGCCAGCCTGTGTGACACGGTCGGGGCGATTCTGGCCAGACAGCTCACGATCCAGGTGCGTCAGGCCCGTGGGTGACCATGGCTTCTGTCTCGTTCCCTCACCATGCAAGGCACAGTTTGCCTCAGGGCCTGTGTTCTTGCTGGTCTTTCTGCTCCCCTCCAATGCTTTGTCCAGACAGCCAATGGCTCACTGCTCACCCCCTTTACGTCTTTGCTCAGAAGCCACCTTCTCAACAAGGCCTTCCCTGACCACCCATGTTCCTCTACCACAGACCCCCTCATCCTGCTCTATTTTTTTTCATGGCTTACCCCCAATACACCATCTACTTTCCTTAGTATGTTTATTGCTTATTTTATTTAATTCCTACTAGAATGTTAGCTCTACAGGGGCAAGAATTTGTATTCACTACTGTAATCCCCTCACTTAAAACAGCAGCCTAGCAGGGCAATCAGGGGGTTGGGGCGCCTTCATGAAGGAGAGCATGAATGAAGGCAGGAACAGATGGCCCATAGCCATGTGGCCCAAGCTCACATAGTAGATGCTGGCACATAGTAGATGCTCAATAAATAGTGATTGTTGGTGCTATTGTTTTTTATTTTTATTTTATTTTTTTAAAATATATATATTTTATTGATTTCAGAGAGGAAGGGAGAGAGAGAAACATCAATGATGAGAGAGAATCATCGATCAGCTGCCTCCTGCACACCCACTAACTGGGGATCGAGCACACAACCTGGGCATGTGCCCTTAACTGGAATCGAACCCGGGACCCTTCAGTCCACAGGCGGATGCTCTATCCACTGAACCAAACTGGCTAGGGCGGTACTATTGTTTTTAGAGCCCAGGACCCAGCCCTAGCTCATGCGGGATGGTGGGGGGCGGAGGGGTCTGAATCCCTTCCCAGGTGGTTATAAGGGCTTTGGAGAAAGTGAGAAGCAGTTATAAGTTTTTGCAATTCTAGGCCCTCAAACAAACCTGTATAGGAGGAGCCTATTCCAAAACATGTATCACAAGGAAACCCTGCGGGCCCCCCTGCAGGGCCACCTCATAAGGCTGATCCAGGCCTTGTGCCCACCGAGCTGGGCATGAAGGAGGACGGCCTGGGAACAGGTTGGGAGACACGGAAGGGGAGAGTTCTAGACCCTGCTTTGAGCAGGACTGTCAGAAACAGCTCACTTTTTATTCTGGGTGCCCCTTCTCATTAGGTGATGGAAAATAATGAGGTCTAGCTCAAGTCCAATAATAACAGTTGACAATTATTAAGCACTTAACACTGTACTCAGCACTTAGGGCTTTTCATATATTAAGTCATTTAATTCCCAAATCATCCTATGACGTGAGTGCTCTTATCTTGTTTTACACACGTGGAAACTGAGGCATAGCGAGGTTCAATAACTTCTCTAAGGTCACCCTCTAGTAAGTAGCAGTGCCAGGATTCAAACCCAGAAATGCATGCTCTTAGCACTAACCATCCTGTCCTGGTAGCTAGTGCATTTACAGGTGAGTGCGTTTTACTTTCCTCTAGGCCAGTGGTTCTCAACCTTCTGGCCCTTTAAATACAGTTCCTCATGTTGTGACCCAACCATAAAATTACTTTCGTTGCTACTTCATAACTGTAATGTTGCTACTGTTATGAATCGTAATGTAAATATCTGATATGCAGGATGGTCTTAGGCGACCCCTGTGAAAGGGTCGTTCGACCGCCAAAGGGGTCGCGACCCACAGGTTGAGAACCGCTGCTCTAGGCGCTGGCCTAAGCGCTGTCCGTGTATTGACTCATGTAATCTGCTTAAATAGTGAGGAAGGCACTATTATTAACTCTGTTTTAGAGCTGAGGAAACTGAGGCCCAGAGGTCAGTGGCTGGGCCAGAGTTATACAGCAGAGATCACACCGTGCGATCACACCGTGTGGTGGAGAGAGTGTGGAATAGGAAGCGGAGGGCTGGGTTTGGGTTCCTGGCCCATCATTTAAGCACCCGCCCCACCTCCTCATCAAGCAAAGGGAGGTGATCTCGACCTTTCTTGGGGTTGGGAGGCGTCCCTGGAAGCACCCCTCAGTGGAGCACATGGATGTGGAGGGAGACCCAGGGTGAGAAGTGCTGTTTGAATGTGTTTGAACATCAAGACTATTTCCATCCGCTCCCAGGTTTTCACTGGTGCCTACCTAGCAGCTGTTGACCTGATGAACTTTGTGTTCATTCTCTTCCCAGTCTGCGGCTCCAAGTTCAAGTCTAATTCGGGTGAGTGTGTGGCCATCTGTTCCTGCCTTCATTCATGCTCTCCTTCATCATCACCCTGGACCCCTGCCAGGCACAGACGAATGAATGAGCCAGAGGAGGGAGACAGGGCCCTAAGCATCCTTCGAGCTGCTAGTGGGGAGGTGCATGCACATCTAGGGCACCAGAGGGGGAGGAGGGGCTGCAGGTGTCAGAGCAGGAGTGACGCTGGAACTGGGACTGCAGGGAAGGGCATTCCCGGTGAAGAGAACAGTGGGCAAAGGCCAGGAAGAGGGTGGTGCATGGCTTTGGGAATGAGCAGTGATCTCTGTGTGCGAGTCCAGGATGGCCAGTGAAGCCCCAGAAATGGATGCCAGGAACAGGCATGCACCACCTCCGGCAGAGCAGGGGCTGTAAGTGACTGAGATGGGATGAGTAGTCGAGTGTGGAGGACTGGGGCATTCCTGAGAAGAGAATGCTTGCATCAGTGGGGTCATAGAAGATGCCCTCAGCCCAGTCAGCATGGCTCAGTGGTTGAGTATTGAACTATGAACCAGGAGGTCACAGTTCGATTCCTGGTCAGGGCACATGCCTGGGTTGCGGACTCGATCCCCAGTGTGGGGCATGCAGGAGGCAGCCAATCAATGATTCTCTCTCATCATTGATGTTTCTCTCTCTCTCTCTGTCCCTCTCCGTTCTTCTCTGAAATCAATAAAAATATATTTTTTGAAAAGATGCCCTCAGCTGCACCATGCTGCCCAGAGGAGAACTGTTCTTGCTAGGATGGTTCAGAGGAGCATCTGTCTTATATTAAAAGGAGATTTTCAGAGACGATGCTCCTTGTCCCACTCAGTTTCGATGTCCTGGCACCATGCGTTCACTGATGCATTCACCAGGCTTGTGCCAGTTCTGCTCTGTGCCAGGCTCTGCGGAGATTGTAGAAACTGCCAGGGCATGGTGCCTGCCCTCAGGGGGTTCCAGTCTAGGAGAGGCGACCCTGTGCACTCAGATACATATATATGATACCGGAAATGTCACCCTGCCATGAACATAAAAGTTATAGGAGGGCTGAGGAAGGAGAGAGTACCAGCCGTGTGTGTGTGTGTGTGGTGTATGTGTGTGTGTGATGTGTGTGTATGTGTGTGTGTATGTGTGTGTGTCTGTGGTGTATGTGGTGTGTGTATGTGTGTGTGTGTGGTGTGTGTATGTGTGTGTATGTGTGTGTCTGTGGTGTGTGTATGTGTGTGTGTGGTGTGTGTATGTGTGTGTCTCTCTGTGTGTGTATGTGTGTGCCTGTGGTGTGTGTGTATGTGTGTGTGGTGTGTGTATGTGTGTGTGTGGTGTGTGTGTGTGTGGTGTGTGTGGTGTGTGTATGTGTGTGTGTGTGTATGTGTGTGTAGGGGGATGGGTGGTGGGGGCACAACCATAGGGCCTTGAAGGGTTGAGAGATCTGGCCAGAACAACATGGGAATAGCAGCCTGCCCTGGCATCAGGGCTGGGTCAACACCAGTTCTTCCCAGACTCTCAAGCTCCCAGGAACCATATGGGATTTGGGGTCTGTTGCAGGTCATGGCTCCCAGGAGAGGAAGGGGAGGCGGCGGCTCAGGGCCAGTGTATTTGCCTTGACTCTGCCCCTGAGCCTGGGCCCCTGCTGGGCTCTCTGGGCTGCTGTCCCGAAGGCTTCAGGCCTTGTCCAAGGGCCACAGCGGAGGCTGCTGGGAAGCCGGCTGCAGGTGAGGCTGAGCCAGCTGGGGGCAGTGGGGGAGGGATGGTCCCTTCAAAAATGCCTGGGGATGGTGGTGGGCAGGGTTAGCCTTTATTGGGAGGAACCCACTAAAAGCAGAAAGGCGGGTCTGGGGTGCACGGTGGTCTCCTCGGGGTGCTGACTCTACCACCTGTTCCCACAGGACAACACTGAAATGTTTGGCTACCTGCTGGGTGGCATCGCCGCCTGCGGCTCCTGGGCTTCCCGGATCCCCCCACTCTCCAGAATCGTGAGGCTGGGGTTGGGGCTGGGGTAGGAGCTACCGTGACAGGTTTTAGGGCATCTGGGAGCACTGTCAAAGCTCGGGGTCACCGGGGCAGAGGGGTGGTGCCACCCCATGTGTGTGTGGAGCTGGGGTGGGAGGGTGGGCGGCTGGCCCAGGAGAAGTCCTGAGGCCTCTCACTGGAAAGCCCACGGCGTTCTCTCCGTTTCTTACAGCAGATGAAAAGCAGGCTCTCAGGTAAAAGCCACCAGGGTTGGACCAGCAAGCATCGAGTTAGGGAATGAGAAGGTTTTAGAGGATAGAATCATGTAGCTACTGGGGTTCTGTGTATTCGAGAGCAACTTATTGGCAAGTATCTTCCAGGCACCTGGGGTGAGGGGAGACCTGTGTTGGCCAGTTCCGGGGGATGTAGATGTGACTTGAGACACTGCTTGCCCCCAGGAAGCTCGCCGTCTCATGAGAGACACAGAAACGCAAAGCAGGGCAATTTAATGCTCTAAGACATACAGCATCAAGTGCTTAGAGGTTCGGAGGAGAGAAAGAAGGCTCCACCACCATCCAGATGAGTGAGGCTGAAAACTCACACAGCCAGGCCGGTGGCTGCTGGGGAGGCCTCAGGTTTCTCCGAAGGGACGTGGGATTAAGGAGGCAGAGGCGAGGGAAGGAGAGCGCGCATTGGAAAAGCCACCAGAGTAAGATACTGTGGACATGTGAAAAACCGCTCTTCCTGGGGGCCTTGCTGAGGGAATAATGGGCTGAACACCAGAAACATAACAGGCCTGTCACTGTGTCTAAAAAATAATCACTTGTCCAAGAGCATCATTTAATAGCAATTCCAGGAGGACAGGATTCGGGGATGGCAGGTGCTCAGTTGGTTATTTGTGGGAAGCTATTGCTTATGCTGTGACTGCCAGAAACCTCACCAGACATGGGGTCTCATCAGCAAAGGTAGTACCTCCAGATCAAGGGAGGGGAGAGTAGGGAGCACCGCTCTCCCTTCAGCAACCCCTGGGACAGGTCTCCAGGTGGCATGGGGGCTGGGAAACTATGTCACATGATGATCTTAGAAACGGGTGCGGTGCCCGACCAGTTATTAGTTTCTAGCGCGGCCATAACAAAGTATCACAAACTTTGAACCACAGAAATGTATTGTCTCGAAGTCCTGGAGGCCAAACGGTGCTGGGGGTGTCCTCAGGGCCACCCTCCCTGGGAACGTGCTGGGGAAGGGTCTGTCCCAGGCCCCTCTCCTAGCTTCCGGTGGCAGCATGCCGTGACCTCCCCTCTGTATCTGTCTGTGTCCATGTTCCCCTTTTTATGAGGACAGACTCATATTAGATTAGGGCTCACCCCGATGACCTCATCTGAACTTGATCATCTGCAAAGACCTTATCTCTAAATAAGGTCATAGTCACAGGCTCTGGGGTTGGGACTCACATCTTTTGGGGACACACAATCCAACCCACAACACCACCCCATCTAAAACAGCCCAGGCCACTCCACCACTGTGTCCATCACTCTGCTTAGTCTTCTTCATAGCATTTGTCCCATCCTGAAATTAGCTCCTCCAGTTACTTACCAAGTTGTTATCTTGGTTACAAGACAGAAGAACATCAGCACCGTGAGAGCGGCGGGCTTGTCTGTCTTATGCCCCACTGTATTCCGGGTGCTTGGGGCCTGCAGGTGCCAGCAAACATGTGTTCATGAGTGACCTAATCTGGCCTGGAAAAGGGAAGCTCCTGGTTGTAGGAATCAGGAGGGCTGTCTTAGGGCAGGAAGAGCAGCCTTGTTCTCTGCAGTTTCGGAAAACAACACTGGGAAGAGGTTATGGGAGGGCCACCTCCCATTCACGGGTTAGACACTTTGCACAGTGCCTGGTAGGTTGAGGGCAATCATTATTCTGTTATTTCGACCTTAGGAGGTAGTGGGCTTCCCATCACTAAAGGCATGCAAGCCTGATGGCCCCTTGGCAGGAAGATCAGTGCACCCTGGGGGACTTGTCATGGGCAGAGGGTTTGCCCTCCAACCTGCTATGCCACCAGGGCCCTGGGTCTCAGCCCTAAGGCAGCCGGGGGCAGTGGCAGCGTTCCTTCCTGCCCAGCTCTCTCCTCTCTCTGCCTAGTGCCGGGGTAAGACGTTTCCCTGCATCCACCTGTGGAGCCGGCTCCTGTCGGCCCTGGCTGGCCTCCTCTACGCCTCAGCCATTGTGGCCCATGACCGGAGGCCCGAGTACCTGCTGCGGGCCACACCCTGGTTCCTGACCTCCCTGAGCCGCGCTGCGCTGGACCTCGCTGTATCTACCCCAGGCCCAGAGACATCTTCCTGCCTCTCCTCCCTGCCTCTGCCACGCCCTCTTGCTGGATTAGAACTCTCTCCCAGTGGCCAGGGAGGTGGTTTGAAGCCTGGGACAGGCAGACACAATGACAATGTGCAATTTTGTGTTTTGTTTCCTTTTTTTTTAAATAAGAATAATTACCTCTTGATGGAGCTCTGTTAAACAGCAGAGGGGGCTGTGCCAGTTCCTGACCCTGGGATCAGAAGAGCAGGTTGCAGTCTCAGTTCTGCTCCCAACCTGGGCCTCTCCCTGCCCTCAGTGAACCAGTTTTCCTGGTCTTTGCCTTGCCTTCCTCCCGGGCCAGGGGGATGGCTGTGCCAGCTGGCCAGCTGTGCAGTGGCGATCCTGCCCTGTGTGCTCTTGGGCTGGGGCAGCAGAGATAAAAGTTGACAAGGGGCTGCCCTTTGTCAGTGATTGTGAGCACCTACCTGGTTCCCCAGGGGTGTTGCCTGATGTGCTGACACACCGGTGACCTTGGCATGAGGGCCTCAAGGGCAAGCTAAATGCAGACAGTGGTGGTTGGTAGAGTGTGTGTGTGTGTGTGTGTGTGTGTGTGTGTGAGAGAGAGAGAGAGAGAGAGAGAGAGAGAGAAACCTGTGGATTTAGCATAAATAGTTCAGAAACTGACTTTCTCATGTACTGTGTTAATTTGCTAGGGGAGGTAGAAGAGGGTAAAAGGGGGATAAATGGTGATGGAAGGAGACTTGACATGGGGTGGCGAGCACAATACAATACACAGATGATGTATTATAGAATTCCCTGAGACCTATATAATTTTATTAACAAATGTCATCCCAATAAATTCCACTTAAAAAAACTTTCCTAGGGCTGCCATCACAAATGGCCACAAACCTGAAGCGTACACAACAGAAATGTATTCTTTCAGCTCTGGAGGCTGGAAGTCCCAAATCCAGGCAGGGCCGCACTCTCCGAAGGTGCTGGGGAAGAACCTGTCCGTTCCTCTTCCGCTCCTGCTGGCTCCTGTGTTCCTTGGCTTGTGGCAGCATAACTTACCTCTGCCTCCTTTTTTTCTTTTAATATTTTTATTGATTTCAGAGAGGAAGGGAGAGGGATAGAGAGATAGAAACATCAATGATGAGAGAGAATCATTGATCGGCTGCCTCCTGCACATCCCCTACTGGGGATCGAGCCTACAACCCAGGCATGTCACTTGGCCGGAACCGAACCTGGGACCCTTCAGTCCGTAGGCCGACGCTCTATCCACTGAGCCAAACCAGCTAGGGCACCTCTGCCTCCTTTTGTGTGCCCCTGAGTCCTCTTATCTTATAAGGACTCCTGCCATGGATTTAGGACCCACCCTAACCCACGGTGACCGCATCTTAACTAATTATATCAGCAAAGATCCTAGTTCCAAATAAGGTCACATTCTGGGATATGAATTTGGCGGAGACTATACATACCTCCGTGTGTATGGTTCCTGTAAGGCAAATACATCAAGGATGATGCTCTTCAATATGCTTGTGTATAACAAGTATTTGCCAAGTGCTTGGTAGAGGCAGGGTCTTACTAGGAGATGGGCCCTGTAAGGAGGAAAGTAGAGAGTCAGGCCTGGCCCTGTGCTCAAATGAGCTCCCCAACCCGGGGACAGAGAGCACAGGGTGGGGCCCAGGGCACAGAGGTGAAGGCAGTGGCTGCAACTCTTCACTTCCTTGGACCTTAACTCCACTTCCCAGATCATTTTCCTTTCCTGGGTGATGAAAAGCAAGATGAGGCGGGTCTTGGGGTTTGCCTCTGAAGCCAGAGAGAGCCCCGACACCCAAGCGCTTCTGACCTGCGCAGAGAAAGAGGAAGACAACGAGGAGGCGAGGAATCAGGGGCTGGAAAACCGCTGGTCCCACCAGTGTTTGCATGTGGAGGGGACCGAGGTGAGCCTGGGATTCTGGGTCCCTCTGAGCCTGGCCGCTTGGTCACTTTAAAAAACCACGGTTGATGCCCAATGCTAAGGGGCCCTGAATAAATAGGACCTTCCATTTCCCCAATTACAACATTTTAAAAAGTTTCTGAACACTTAATAAACTGCAATATATGTTTCGCAACGTAGATGAAAAATAGTCAAGTGTCCACTTCTGCTATTTAGTAATTTACTTATTCATATATATTTAAGTTTACATGCTACAAAAATTAACATGTAATCTGACTGAGTTAATGAAATAGAAGATAGTGGGGGAGGGTATGGCCAAGGTGAAAGGGGTTTATATAGGTGCGTGGACCAAAGACCCAGGTTCCCATAAAGGCTCTAAGGCAGGGCTGGGAAACGTCCAGCCCAAAGGCCCGTGTAAGGCCCGTGAAATCATTTGGTCTGGCCCTGCCAAGGCATTAGGGGTGAGTTAATTAAATGTTTGACCAAATATAGGAGGCTAAATTTTTAAGTTGATGATTTTGTATGGCCCTCGAATGATGTTATAAATACCCAACGGACCCTTGGCAGAAAATGGGTTCCCCACCCCTGCTCTAATGGGAGGTTATTTTCCTTCCACTCTAGCAACTGTTATGAAATTATATCCCAAAACGGAGCTACAATGTGTAAAGAGCGCCCTTTGTGTCTGGTTGTTCCAAGGGGAGGAAGAAGAGACTTGGCAATCTTCTCAGCATTCCTCAACCACAGTGGTTCTCAAAGTGTGGTCCCTGGACCAGCATTACCTGGGAACTAACTTATTAGAAATGCAAATTCTCGGCTTCCACCCGGCTCTACCCAATCCTAAGCTGAGAATGTGTTGACCAGCCCACGGGGGCGCTTCTGGTGCACACTACAGCGTGAGAACCACTGCTTTACAAAAGCATTTATGTAGCACCTACTGCAGTGGTTCCCAGACTTGGCCATATTTTAGAATCACCTGCAAGGCTTTTAAACTTTCCAGGTCACATCCCGACCAATTAAACCAGAATATCTGGGAGAAGGGGTTGAGAGCTAAACATCAGTTGTGTTGTTTTTTAAGATGCCCAGGTGATTCCACTGTGCAGCAAAGTTTGGGAACCACTGACATACTGTGACCTCACAGAGATAAGACGCATTTCATAGGAAGCAAAAAGTGACATGTGCCATAAAAGAACAGGGGGCAAAAAACACTTTAGGGGATGGGGCTTTTGGGTGCTTTTTTTTTTTAAAGAAAATGGGACCTTGTTTTTAGAAAATGTCTCCCAACTTAAGAATTCCCATGTCTGTCTCCTTGTCTCTACTTGAAAGAATTCAGATTGGGTGCCTCTCACTACACTACCGCACTGCAAGCCACTCAGGACGATGACAGCCATCAGTCACTACATGGAGCTGACCATCGAGCCCGTGCAACAGGTGAGTGGCCATGGGCCACGGCCAGGGGTCCAGAGGGTGGGAAGTAGTCATGGAAGGCTTCCTGCAGGAGGCAACACTGTAGCTGCAGGATGGGCAGGATGAGGCAGGAGAGCATAAAAAAGAGGAAGGGGAAAATAAGAGAAAGAGAAAAAAAAGGGGTGGGGTGGGGGAGGTAAGAGGAAGGAGCTCTCCAAGGCCTAGTGTGGGGCAAATTGGGGGAATTCAGGAGATGACAGGGTGGGGATACCATCACACTACAGAAGCTGAGTGTCATCCTGAGGTGATGGGAGTCTGTGAGGCTTCAGGACTAGAGACTTAGGGTCAGATGTGAACCTTAGAGCCTTCGCTTAGGCCATGTTGGAGGGCAGACTAGGGGAGAGGAGGCTGGAATCGAGGTGGTCAGTGAGGGACAGTTGTAAGTCCAGGAAAGGTGGTGTGGCTTGAAGCACGGCTGGAGCAGGAGAGGCAGAGATGGAGTGGAGTTGGCAGGTAGAGCACTGGGAGGAGTGAGGATATGGGGTGAGGGAGACTGAGCGCTCCAGATCTCCCAGGGTTCTGGCCTGGATGGGCGGGTCCTCAGGAGGAAGAGGGTTAGATCAGCGGTTCTCAACCTGTGGGTCGCGAACCTTTGGGGGTCGAACGACCCTTTCACAGAGGTCACCTAAGACCATCGGAAAACACATATATAATTACATATTGTTTTTGTGATTAATCACTATGCTTTAATTATGTTCAATTTGTAACAATGAAAACACATCCTGCATATCAGATATTTACATTACGATTCATAACAGTAGCAAAATGACAGTTATGAAGTAGCCACGAAAATAATTTCATGGTTGGAGGTCACCACAACATGAGGAACTGTATTAAAGGGTCGTGGCATTAGGAAGGTTGAGAACCACTGGGTTAGAGAAAAGGGGGAGAGGTGACA